GCATTCATCAACATTTTGGATGAAAATGGCCTGCTCATTAAGTAAATGTCCCTCAGCTGTCTCCTATTAACCTTGTTCCCCCCCCCCCCCCCGTCTCCATTTTTAGTTTCCCCCCTTGTTCTCTTTCTTTCCACCTACTTTCTCTCTCACTTCTCTTATTTCTCTCTTGTAAATGTCCCTCAGCTGTCTCCTATTAACCTTGTTTATAGCCCACGTCGTCTCTCCTTCGAGATCCTCCTCTCCTCTTCTCTCAGCACTTTCTCTTTGCACTCACTCTTTCATTTTCTATTCCTGGCGCCGCGTTCCCTTCGCACACTTTCATCCCCACTTTCCTTACACCTCACCCCCCGCGCCCCCCTATTCCACTCTCATCCTCCATCAATTTGGCATTCCCAAGCCATCCCTGGTCTCCTCCTTTTCATCCTTCCTGTCACCTCGCACACTTCCTCTCCTCCTTCCTTCCTGATTAATTTCCTCTTCATAGAGAAATGGTGGGAAATATGGAAATGTCAGTGTGACCAGGGAGGGGGATCAGAGAGGACTGTGTTAATATGTCAAGACTGTCGCAGCATAATGCGTGTGCAGGCACATCATGTGGGTGTCAAAGACATAATGATAGGTGACAGTGCTTTGGATGATGACATGTGACTACTTGAGAATGCTGAAGAGGGCAGTTTGCGTACGCGTGCATTTGTTTGTTCATGTGCGTTTGGTGGCGTTCTTTGTGTGTCACCTGCAGGCAGCCGAGCTACTGTAAAGTAGAGCAGCGGTGACACAAGGCTTCTGTTACCACTCTCCTCCCCTCCAACCCTTTCTTTCTCTCCCTCCGTCTCCCTCCTCCTCTCTTCTCAGTCTTACCCTTGAACCGTCTTTTATTCTCTAATTCCCTTAGTTCCTGACTCCCTCCTTCTCCCGTCTCTCTCTCTCTCTCTCTTCTATTTAATATGACCAATGCTCTCTAAATATTTATACTGACAATTAGTATTTCAAACATCTGCAAAAGCCCTTCGTGTTGGTGTAGACACACACGCGTGCACACGCTGACTTTTTCTTTTGTGTCTGCTGATCCAATGACACAGAGTCTCTGAGACTTCGGGGCTGGGATTTGGCGACTATCATGGAGGATAAAGACGTGCCAGTCTTTATGCGTCTTGTGTGTAATATTCATTTCCCTGGGGCTGCATAGAGTCTCATAAGGCCAGCCTGTTTTTCATCTGAGCTCTGGCTGGAGCTGACCTGTGTTGGCTCTCCTCTTATTGCCTCAGAATGACAGACAACAGGCCCAGCTCAGCTCTAACCCCACATTATGTGTGGACACAACTGCTGTGCATGTGGTTGTGTGTGTGAATTTGCACATGTGCAGACAAGTGAGACCTGAGGCAGAGTAACTAATCTCCAGTCCCACATTGTGTAGTGACCTCTGACATTTGGTCCATACACTGAAGCAATACTAGTAATCAAGGGTTTCAATAACCCTTAATCCTCTTTGCTTTTGTTCTGCTACGTCGTGTGGTAACCAGAGTGCAGCTTTCATTCCTAACAAAAGCCAATCTGTAGTTGGTCAGACTAGTCCGGGTAGTTAGACAGGGTTGAAGCGTAGTCTTCTCCAAATGCTCGACATTTTAAAGATCACATGCCAGGAGATCGACAATAAAGCTGTCGTGTGTGTGTGTGTGTGTGTGTGTGTGTCTGTGTACACATGCTTTTGTGTGTCCACTTGCACAGATATGCTCGCGTATGTGTCCAAGAGAGAGAAAAAAGAGCAAGCTGTTCCTCTCTCCAGCCCAATAAGGCTCTGTGCTGCTCCCACGGGCTGCTTAGTGGTTGTCCAGAGGTTCCTCTGTGGGCTACAAGGGGGTTGTTTTGTGGTTGTAAATTGGGCTGGTCCTGGGAGAGCTGGTGTTATTCTAGGAAAGGCTTGTTTTCCTCCACTTTCCCCACTCAGTCTTTTGCTCCTTGCTCCCTTTTCTCTTCCGCTGTATTGATAACTCGGATCTCCCGAGAGTAGAGAAGGTGCGGTGTTCATTGCTTGTCAAAAGAGAGAGACAGCACTGGCCTTTCCTCTTATCTGCCAGCCAATGGGTTTAATGCGTGTGGGTGTTTGTGTGTGTGCTCCATCAGCCCTGTAGATCATATTAGTCTCACAACTGCTTTGGCTCAGCACAAACTGGTGGAACTAGTGCCGCAAATACTGTTCGTCTTTAGGGGAAATTGTTTCCTTGGTGCTGTTGTATGTGTGTAGCTTGCTGCTAGACACATTGTAAGCACACTAGCATTCTCTCTCTCTCTCACACACACACACATACACAGACCCTGGCTGCAGACATTTGAAGTTGTGTATCTGCAGGTAATCCACTCTTACTTAAAACAGGTGCCATCTTGCTGACATACACTAATGCGCGCTTACTCAAACAAGTAATTACATTTTCACTGAGACCTGGATTACACACAGACACACACACACGTAAATGTGGACAGATTGTCGTTTTAAAGCTCCCTCGCGCTTTCTGTTTCTCACACACCCACTGACACAACACACTAAGAAAAGCATATTTATTTTGACTCTTTGCTGTAACACAGGAATGTGTCGGCACAGCAAATGGCAGGCTACAGAAAAGCATAAACCATCCGGATGATTTATGACCTACGTGCCAAAGAGAGCTGGATTTCCTATTTTTTCTGTTTTTTTTTTTCAGCACATATCCCCCTCTTTTTTTTTTCCTCCCACTCCGTCCACACACACGCACGGCCATGGAGAGATACCAGACTCTTGGCCTACTTGCCTGGCTTCACTAATGCTGTCCTCTGTTGTACCAGACACTTCCACACTGTCCTCATTTATCAGGAGGCTCTGTACCAACACGATTCCTCTGCTCCCTTTCCTTGTCTCCTCTGCTAGTTAAGGGATAAAAGGAAAGACTGACAATGTTTCTGCCTCTTTCTCTACTTCTCCTAGGAGTGTCGGGTCAGCGGGTGAAGGTGGAGCCAGAGGTGTTGTCGTATCCTGGTCAGACTGTCAACCTGCGCTGCGCCTTCACTGATGCCACTGGGATTCAGCTCACTATGGTGATACACTGTCTTAATAGAATTCTTTTTCTTTTTTTTCAGTTTGGATTTGATTACTTCTTTATACAACTGCACTCATATCGGCTCTAAACTGGGTTTGTGCTGTGAAATTCTCATAAAAATGTCTGTTTCATCCCGAAATTGCAGCTCATTGTGCTGACTTGACACAGTACAATTTGTTGAAATTGCTTGGGAATACGATTTGCTTTCACAATTGAAGCAAACACATTGGCCATTAAGCGAATAGGCTATGTAATATTTTGCTAAACATGTGCCTATTTTGCTGCAGAATGAAGTATTCGTCAATTACGCATCAACCTGATTCTGCAGGTGTGTGAAACGTAGTCCATCAGATGAATAAGAGCCATTCATTGCAATCAAAATAAACATTAAAAGGATAACACAGGTCCATGTGCCTTGTTTACCTATCCCATTAAAACTTAATCTAGGAAATCATAGCCCACAGAAATTATCCTAAGGCTGGTAATAGGTTTTTATCACATTTAGACTTAATGTTTTATTGCTCCAAACAAACAATACTGACTTTCATTTTGCTTCAGGGGATTGAATATGGTAATAGAAACACTTCTGAGTCGCATCTTGATGAAGAGAGAAGCACACAACTCAGTTTGGTTCCGCTAAGAGCAGCTGAGAGAGAGCAAATGCTGCTCCTGAAAGTCGCATCCATATTCATACCTGTTCCACTTCCTTGATTGTGATGCCGCTGTGTACACTGCCCCGTGGAGTTTACAGAAATATGGATGATGTCTTAAAATGCTCTGCAGTGTCGCTTATCAGTGCCATGATAAATGAGGCCTGCTGTTGTTCCCTAGCCCCTGTACGCATCCTGACCACTGACCCCGTGCCCTTCCCCTCCACCACAGATCACGTGGATCTACGAGCCAAAGGAAGGAGAGAGGATCAACATCGCTGTGTTTCACCCCAACTTTGATCCCAGCTACCCAACTAACTCGCCCGTGAAGGGCAGAGTCCGCTTCACGCCCACTCCTCCAAACCTGGCCAGCCCCTCCATCGAGATAAGCAATGTTAGGATGACAGATGAGGGGAAGTACATCTGCGAGTATGCTACCTACCCCAGTGGCAACGAGCAAGGCATCACGCACCTGGTCATGCTGGGTAGGTCACTAACATAATCCATGTAATGTGTATACACAGATTGGCATCCAAAACATGAGGAAAATTACAAAGAAATGATTATAACTAAAATGATAACTATATGTTTTCATGTCACAATTTGATCTCCTTCTGAAAACTGTGGTAGCTGCTTTATTATTTAATATACCAGGGTAACCGATTCTGGAACCACAGAACTTTAACAATTACCCATGTTGGTATTAAATGTTAGCAACACTAGCTCTAGTCTGGTGAGTTCCTCCAACCATACGGAAGCGGGTCTGAATATAATGCACCACAGTGGGTTGTGATTTTATGTCTCGGCCTGCCATGCAAACACCCGAGCTGTTGAAACGGTTGCGTTCCAACGGGGCTTCATACCATCACAGGTTTCTGCCTCGCGAGGACATGAAACATTGCTAAATGCTTCCTTATAAAATGTCTTATTACTTTCGGAAAAGTACCACTTTTCAAGCCTAAATTGTCTCTTTGTCGCGTACAAAGGAATCAAACCCAACTCAACCCGGACTAATCTGTTCTGAAAGATCTGTAGAATGTCAAAGACCTTTTGCCAGACTTTCATACCATGAATAGATTCATTAGTCAAAGCGATTCATAACAAGAGAACTGGCCTCGCTTTTCTGTGTCTCATGGCGCTTGTCTCTCCAGTAGAGTTAGCCTTGTTGAATCGAGGTGCATTGAAGCTGTTACAGTTTTAGTTATTTTATATATGTATAATATGCAAAGTAGTCTCTGTCTCTCTAGCTCTCTATCCCTCACCCAAAGGTAGCATGCAGGTTAAAAGCATGTCCAGCGAGGCTTAATTGCTATTCTAAGTGGTATTGTCAGATCAATTGTGTGCCTGTTAATGCCCATGCCATGCCATTGGTCTAACCTTGGCCACCAGTGCCTCCGCTCCACTCTCTTCACTCTCCAACGCATCATACCTCCCTGCCTCCCCTAAGGCACTATATTGATCTGGCTGCTTGTCATGCCCGCTGTCAGCTCTTGTCCTGCCTGCTCTCCTCTGATCCCACACTCGTATCATGGAGGGAAATTGTGGAGGGATGAGGAAGGAGATGGAGTAGAGAGGGTGGGGGAGGACGGCGATCGTGTAGTGATTTAGAATTTGTGTATGGAAATGCACTGGACCAGTCATGGAAATTGTTTATCAACAGTGGCGGGTGAGAGGGAGGGGGATAGATTAAAGAAATGTAGGCAGAGGGAAAGAAGATTTAGGGTTTGGATGCGTTTGGACTGGTGCTTGTAAGTGTTTATCAATGTAGGCTCTGGACAGATAATAAACAGAGGAGAGAGGGTGAGTGGGGGGGACAAAAGTAGTTTGTGTTTTTGGATTTGATTTTGCCAGGCTGGCGACTCAAATTGTTTATCAATAATGCTGCACATTATCTTTCCCTCAGCTGTCTTATTTCTATTATCTATTTATACATCCTCTAATCTTCTCTGTCTCTCTCTCTCTTCACCCTTCACCCTTGCATCAATCCCTACGTCCATCCATCCATCAGCTAAACCGCAGAACTCGGCCTCCATCGTATCAGTGGTAGCAGGCACTAAGCCAGTCGTTGTGGCGCGCTGCGAGTCTGCTGATGGCCGCCCCGCTGCCGAGATCTCCTGGGTGACCGCAGCCAGCGGCAATGCGACAACGGTGTCCAAGACGGGTACCGACGACATGGTGACCATGAGTAGCGAGTACCGCATGGTTCCCACACCAGCAGACAATGGGAAAGACCTCAGCTGCGTGGTGATGCACAGGACCCAGGTCAAACCAGAGAGCTTCCCGTTGAAGCTAGCAGTTCAGTGTAAGACACACACACGCACATAAAACCCATGAATTACTTTCCTGTTCTAATTGAGTGACTAATTGAGTTCATTTTTTTTTTCTCCTCCCTTCTGCCATTCACCTGTCCTTCCCTCAGACCCCCCTCAGGTGAAAATCATAGGTTATGACAATAATTGGTATGTTGGTCGTACCAATGTCGTGCTCACCTGCGAGGCTACCGGAAACCCTGCTCCAGTGACCACCCAGTGGAAGACGTGAGTATCTTAACATCCATCATCTCTTTTGTTACGTTTTGCTCTTTCTCTCTTTCTCAGCGTTTCTTGCTTCCTCTTTTCCTCTCAATCTTCCTTACCCTTCATTCCCAGGTCCACAGAGCTGTAATCAGCACTTTTTATTATTGCTACTACAGACCTGTGCTCTGATTATGGAGATAGCCTTATCATTTTTCATAATGGACTCGGTGACTCAAGGTTTAACCCGAGCATAATGAGAAACACAATATGACTCGCTCTTTCCCCATTTATTTTGTATTATCAGCTATTAATGTAACTGACAAAATTTGAAAAAGAAAAAAAGCAACACAAATGGAAAAGTCTGTTACTTAAAAATGGGAGAGATGAGTTTTTGGGCCCAGATCCAGCAGTTTTGCTCCTGTCCCCATCGTATTTTCCTCCACTGTGTGATAATGGATTGACTTTTGAGGAAGGGGGGTACTGATTAGTTTTGCACTTCCGATCAAGATTAGTGGAATTTGATGACATAGCACAATACAGCACATTTCTGTAAATGCACATCTGTCTTAATGACCTCATTGTGCCCAAAGTTAAACAAACTACAATCCTATTTTCTTTTTATTCTTTTTTTGGCCTGCTCCCCTTTCTTCTTTCTCATGTCGGTATGCTCATGTCCCTGCAGGATGTCAGGAGAGAAGCCAGACACGGTTGTGATCACAGAAAATGTGCTGAAGGTGCTGAAGGTGGACGATGCGGTCAACACCACTTTTGTCTGCGAGGTGAAGAACCGGATCGGGACCGGCAGGGACCAGGTCACGGTCATTGTCAGAGGTGAGTTTGAGGACACAAGCGAGCGCACACACACCAACACGTGAACATGACAGTATATAAATACATGGTGTCCTCAAGATGTAGGTCCGATAACATTTAGAAATGCACTTAAACCTGCTTTGACTACAACAACGTGTGCTTGACACAAGTAATAAAAGGGTTGTTTAATGCACTTCTCTGTGATTTGATAAATTACCATTAAAAATCACTCCTGAGATCGCAAATCCGCCCATTTGTGTAATTTGCAAATGTCCTACGACACAGATGAATTAGACATAGTAAATGTTTCAGTAAAGCAGTTAACATTTCAGAAGTGAAATGAAAAACACATTTGTGGCTCACATGGGTCTCGTTCATCATCTAACCTTTCCCCTGGCTTGTAAATGAAAACATTTATATCATCTCAACTGGAACCAAGTGCACTTTCATCACACATGCAACACATTTCCTGGTGTGTTATGCTCCAATGTTTTCCTCAGGGATACACACCTTGTTCTGCCTCACATGTCGCATGAACAAACGCCTACAAACACACATTATCTGTGCTGAGGTCTGTCTTGGGTGTGTAGTTTAGGGTTAGAGGGTCCAGCTGCTCTGTCCACGTGTGTGTGTGTGTGTGTTTTAGAGAGTGAATATGTATGTGCGTGCTTTTGGGTTCTCCCTTTCAACTTTTCATATCTCTCTTCCTCTGTGTCCTATTAAGAATGCATGTCACATTTCTGTCTCTTTGCATGCTCTCAATAAAACTGAATTATCAAAGTTTCCATGCCTCGGCGGCACTCAAGGTCTGTCTATCGGCTTTCTACATCACATGGCATTTACAAAGCGTTTTTTCACAAGGTTTTTAGTGGTAGTTCCCATTGTGAGCGGTGCACATAGATGAGATATTTTTTGCTTTTCCTTTATTTTACTAAAATGAGAGAGAGAGCAGTCAGCCCCCTAAAGTCATGATCACAAAAGCTACGGAGTAGCTTCTCAGAAGTACCCTTGGCCCAACACTAATGACAGGAGAGACTAAAGCAAAGCAAATGAGCATGCTCATTAGAGTCAGTGACTTGAAGATAAGGCTGCCATCACTAAAAGTGACACTGTTGACTTTGAAATGAAGTCGATTTCAGTGTTGCCTTAGCTTAGCTGAGACGAGATGAGCGCTGATACACTGTCTGTCTATGTGTGTTTGCTGGTTCATATTTGCGATGTGTTGTGTGTATGCATCTGTCTGTGTGCTGTGTAGCTTGTTGTACCATCCAGAACGGTGCCCGTTGTGATTTAAAAAAAAAAAAAAAAAAAAAAAACAGTCCATACCTCCAACCCCCTCTGTCCCTCAATAGGTCCACCCCTCAACAAGGTTCACTCCTGCATTTCACTTCATACAAAATACATCCCCTCCACTCTTCTGCCTGCACTTAACCGGAAGTTATTTTCTGCTGACATGGGGGTAAATCGAGCCTGTAATGGGGGGGGGGGGGGGGGGGGTTTTCTGGAGGCTCCAGTTTAAAAGCAACCCATCTTCTTCATGCCCTCATTTTTTCTTTCCTTTTTTTTTTTTTTCTTGTCCTCTTACTCAGTCTCTACTTATTTCATTCTCTCTCTCCCCCCATCTTTGGGGAGTCCCTTGGCTCCTTATGGTGCCACTGCATGCATCACCACTCCTCTGGGGCCATTCTGTACTGCTGCACAGTAGCGTAACTGGCTTCTGTAGCACAAAGGATGTCACCATCTCCTGCTGTGTATTACAAGCAACAAGCAAGGAAGATACAACGATTGAGGCAGCAGAGGGAGGAAGATGGAGGCGGCTGCTTTTAAACTAAAAAGCCAGAGAACGTGCACCAGGATAAATCAGTGCCAGCATGCTCCCCTCACACCGAGAGAGCGTTGCATTAAGGATAGAGGGAGAGAGAGCAGATGCTGACGGCATTTAAAACTCCCATGGGAATCTTGTGCCACAGCATCCTATCTCCAGTGCTATTGGCCTCCACTATCTCTCAGCATAGCGTGCGTGTCTGTCTGTCTCCAAGCCTCTCAGAGCGGATCAGTCACCCTTTGCTGCTTCAGCTCCTGGCTGCTTCTCTCCTCATTCCACCATCCGCTCCCTTCTTCCTCGGTCTTTTATCCTACGTTTCCACTCCCATTCTTCATCCCACTTTCTCCTTTTCTTTCCCTTCCTCTCTCCTTTTCGTTTCTCTCGTCTCTTCCAGTGTTGAACTTCCCACAGTTTCCTTGTCCTACCATCTCTTTCCTCCACCTCCTCTTGTGCTCTCTCGGCCGGCCACCTCCTCCCTCCTTCCCACTCCTCTCTTACTCACTGGCAAAGAGGAGGATTAGATGCAAGCTAAATTTGCCGGCAGTTAAGAGGTGACCGAGGCAACTGGCAAGTGTCGGAGTGAGGAAGGTTTTGTTGAAGGCAGAGAGATGGCGAGAAGTGTTCAGAAAGAAAGAGATTGAGTTTGTATTGGTCGGAGTGAAATGTAAGAGTGGATGATTGTCGAAACAGAGCGAGAGAAAGATGCGGAATGACTCCAGATGGGATAGCAATGCAGACCTGTGGAGGCTAATGTGAATGTGTGTATACAAACAGGGCTAAGAGGGGCCGACAGGCGTGAAATGGCCAGCACCTGCTACATAGCAGGTCCCCCACTCCTCTCTACCCCACAGCTGCTGACACACACACATAAATCTACGCACTTGTGTGTCTGTGTGGGTGTTTGCCCGTATCCTCGACCCTCAGTCTTGTCCTGTGCCTTCGGAGGCAGAAAGAGATGGATGTCATCTCCTCACCTCCTCTCATCTTCGATCCCGCTGCTTACTCACACACGCAAAAGTATTCTACCGCTGCTTTCCCCTCCACTTTCTTTCGATTTATCTCTCCCTCGCCATCTCTTTTGCTGCAGTTTGCTCTTTTCGTTGCATCTCTCATCCTCACAGTTAGCATATGCTCTCTCCTCATCCTCCTTATCTCTCACAGGTTGTCTTTCAGCCTCCACAAGTCTGGCACTGATCTCCCCCACTCAGAGAAGAGACTCCTGCCCCCAGCATTCTCTCTCTCTCTCCCCCCTGCTTATGCCCGTGCTATCTTCCTTTCTTAAAGCTTAACTCTTTAAAACCAGAAGCTCTTCCTTAATCACAGCTTAGTAGTCCCCATCTCTTCATCCGTCCCTCCATTCTAGTCTCCTCTCGCAGGGTTCTTGTGTGGCTAACCCCTTCACCGTTCTGTACAGGGGTACATCAGCTGAACCTCAAAAAGTTAAATGTCCTCAATCCAGGGGCTCGTCAGTTCAACGGAAAATATATTTCCTCTCAATTCGGTGCATTTTCTCCCAATTCCAGACTCTTCTAGGAAGGCAGTTCAAGAGCAAAGGGCTTGGCCAATTTCCTTCACCGGGTTTGGGTGTGTGTGTGTGTCTGCCTGTATCTGTCAGTGTGCGTCTCCGGCCATGCGAAAACGGCTAGGGAACAGGTCTGATGGAGCCAAGTCTCCCTCCAGCCTGCTACTGGCCCCCTGCCCACCCCTCATTAGGACACACTCACGCACACACACGGCTCTCTTCAATAAGTTAACATGCTGACAGAGAATACTACTAAGCTATGCTCTAGGTGCAGCCCAGCCCAGCGTCGGGCCACTGGTGACCATGGTTGTGTGTGCGTGTTTGTGTGTGTCTGACCATGCATGTTTTTGGGAGGCTGCAGTAGACGTTACCTCCGCTCCATCTCTCTCATTACTTGCGGTCACTTGGAGCTTACGGTCGTGCTGGACATGACTTCATAAGAAGCATTCTGTTTTTTTGGTTTCCACAGTATGGTGTGTGTGTGTGTGTTTGGCTAAGGGGTGGGGTACTGTAGTTCTGCATGTTTGTTTTTCCCCCCTTCTTATCCACACAGCATGCATATTGCAGGTTTTTCTGCTAACTCATCCAGCAGCATGTGTTTGGAAGATGTCCTCTCCTCACCCACTGAAATACATTCCTCTGGTGCTTTGTTAGGATGTGTCCTACCAAAGAAGCCACCCCAGGATCCCAGTGTAGTGGGCCTGTACTGGGATCCTGGGGTGGCTTCTTTTACATCCATCTCTTGAATCTTTTAAGCATAGTCTCTAGAAGAGTAGAATAAAACATGAATTATCACCCACGAAAGGATTTTGAGACTTTGAGAGAGACACTTAAGAAGTGACTTTATCGACACATTAAAAATAATTGAATGAGAGGAATTTAGGGAGAATTTGCATTTCAATTTCAGCGTAATTCCCTTTGATGAGACGGCAATGTGTAGCAGCATCCGGCTCTAAGTTTGCACAGAGATTGTTGCCGCGTTGCATGTGCCAGAGCTCCATGGAGCCCGAGGTGATAATGCATTTCTTGTGTTCCTGTTACAAGTGGACACTGAGGGCTAGCTCTCACTCTTATGTGTGTGAACAGGAATGTTTAGCACTGCTCGCGGGAGAGAAGGAGGGGAGGGAGACGGTGTGCTTGGGGAGGTCGGTGGAGAGAAATATACCCACATGAATTATTTTTTATTTTTTTCCCCCCATGGCACATGTTGAAAATGAAGCGCAGAGGAGAAAAGTAGCATGCGACAGAAATACAACCATAAAATGGAGAGATGGCAGGAAAAACAGATTTAGAGAACATGCAGGAGACAGCTGGTGGAGTGGAGGCAGAGATGAAGAAAGGGCTAGAAGAGGAGAGGCAGAAATAAAGAGGACGAGAAGAGCGGAGCACCGGTGTAGACTACCACTTCTTCTCTTGACAAGAATCGGTGTTACACGAGTAATTCTGCCAACTCTCTGTACACTTAACAAGAGGGGCTGGCTTCTGATGGATTTGGAATAGGAATGACAATAAGAACCGGGCTGATTCACTACCTTTCAAATTTAGGGAGGGATTTCAACTGCAGCGTCCGCTGTTTAATCCTCTGCAGCGGCTGGTGAAAGCGCAGAGAGTGCAAAGGAAAGCCAGAGCAACAGACAGGATGTTCAGCTTAGCCAAGGGTTCTTGATTTTATTATGTAGCTTATGCGCTCAAACCTGAAGAAAGCAGGAACACTTAAAGATGATGGATGATAAAAATACTTGATTACATAAGATAAGGTTTCGGCGTCAATGTGCAGTGAAATGAAATCATTTTACGTACTGCACCTGGGATATTGAAAATTATCCAAACAGAATAAACAAGTATATTAATTAACTAAAAATAATAAAATACATGTATTCATACAAAAAACATCTAAGCTCTAAACTTGCATACTTTGAACCCTGGACATACTGAAGCGTTTCTCCCACCTATAAAAGTTATTACTTGTACACATTTCCTTGTCTGCGATTTGGAGAACATTTTTGTGGAAAGTGCTTCACAGTACAGTGAATGTGTACAGCATGAGTGGAGCTGACCCTTAACTCCGGCAGTGTTGGTGCCATACTCCCTGCCCACTGAGTTATAGATGATGACCACATGGGGGAAACGGTCACAGGGTCTGCAGGGAGTTGTCGTACTCCCAGAAAGCACTTAGAGCCCTGAACTCATGGCCCCGAAAAGCCTGTGCAAAGCAGTAACACTGTCGTGGTTCTCCCAGAGGCTTTACTCGCTAGTCGTGTCTTGACTAGACCTGGTATCAAACCTCAATACTTTTTGAGTAATGACTGAAATGTGTCCATGGCAAGTACTGAAAGCTGTTTTGCGTAATTGTGATCAGATACTTCCTGATTTGAAATCATAATATTGCTCATTTTACACAGTTGTATATTTTTTTTAGGCTGTATGACTGCAAACATAACTATTGTATTTAAATAGGCTGATTTTATAAAGACGTTACTCAAAGTAATGAATGCAGAACAGTGTTTTGGTGTTGGTGAAATGTAGGTGTGTTATTACCACAGTAAATCGAAACATTTTAAACAATACCAAGCCTGTTGACTGGTGGTTTCCTTCTCTGCAAACCAGTTGTATCTTTTTGCTGTTCAAATACCTGCTTTGAAATATTCTGCTAATATCACTGCAGAGGGAAGTCGACGGAGTGGGAGGTTCAGAGGAGCACTATATGGCTGACAAATCATATACAGTATATCATAACCCTGATTTAGGCACTGCTACTGTACCTCTCCCTGGAGTTTTAATACACAAACAGAAATACTGTGTGTTGGACTGTGGAGCCTAGTTTACTTACACCCTCCTTATCCAGTATGCCTTCTGTGAACGCCTTTGTTTATTTCAAAATGTACTTCTTTTCTTGTGTATGCGTTGTGTACCATAGCAGTCATGACTAAACTAATAGTGCTGGAATAAATTTTGACATGCATTGCCAAGGTTTCCCCCTGCTCTATGCTCATGGCTTCCAGGAAGAGTTGTCATTCCACAGTGTCACTTTGTCACTTACTCACTCCGCCACCTCCTCCTCCTCCTCTTCTAATTCCCAACATCCACTCCTCAATCCATCATTATCCTCCTCCGCTGCACGGCCTCCACCTGTTTTGCCCCTGCACGCGCCATTCCCCGCTCCTTCAGAAAGTGTACGTGGCTAGCGCCCCCGCCCTCCCCCCTTGCCTTGCCTTGCCTTGCCTTGCCTTGCCTTGCCTTGTGATTTGTGGTGAGCCTTGGATAGACCCTGGCCGTTGAAGGGCAACACAGGGGGTGATGTGACGTTGTCGTGTCGTGGCTGTGGGAATTGGGACAGTAGCAGCTCTGAGGGAGAGGAGGAAATGTCAGTGTAGGAAGAGGCTCAGCACACACACACTCACACTTTTGACTGTACTGACACCTCAGCACTCTTACACACTTCACTGAATACAATTCAGACCAGCACCACTGACATCCTCCAACTACCTTTCTCGTTGTTCCTTGACATTACCCTTTCTTCCTTCTCCTCTTTATGCTGCCTCTATTTTCCCTCTTGCCCTCTCTCCATGTTTCCCACTGTTCTCCTTTTTTTTCGCTTTTCTCAACCATATTTCTTTCTTCGTTTTTCTCCCTCCCTGCCTATCCTCCCCCCTACAGAGCCCTCAGTGAACCCATCCAATGCCGGCGTGGTGGCGGGAGCTGTGATTGGCTCCCTGCTGGCCCTCCTTTTGGTCGCTGCTCTGATCGCCGTGCTTGTCACCCGTAGCCGCAGGCAACAGCAGGGTTACCGCGCCAATGACGGCAGTGACATGAAGACACGCATATTTGGCGCCGGCAAGAAGGCCAGCAAGAACGGCACGGGCGGAGGCGCAAGCAGCGGCATCGGAGGCGGCAACAACAACGGCCCCGTCTACGTTTACAACGAGAGCTCATCCCACCAGGGCCTCGGAGAGAAAAACAACCACCACCAGCCTCTCACCATCGGGGGCCGGCCTGAAGTTGTTGCCACTGCACCCACCGCCCAAGATATCCTGCTAAGCAATGAATTGGATGACGTAGAAAGGAGGAAGTTTGATGAGCTGGAGGCGGAGGAGAGGTATGACCACTTCACTGGAGGGGCCCCCATCCTTCAGCTTCGCCCACCCCATGACCAGGATGATATGATTGGAGATTACATGGATGATGACATGGAGTCCCAGCGGGATGGCTCTGTCATCTCACGGACTGCTGTTTACGTATAGAGAAGGAGAGGAGGAAAGGAGGAGGAGGAGGAGGAGAAGAAAAAGGAGGGATGGAGGATTCCTCCTGAGGATTTTTTGGCTCCAGGGTCTCATTCCTGTCTGAGTAGAGAAGAGAAAATATTACCACTTTTATTTTTGAAAATTAATTTGAAACATAGCCCATTATTAATCACAGTGCAGCCCCAGAATAAACTGAATGAACAGGAGGGTGTGGAGGGGTATTCTGAAAACAGCATTGCTGTTATCTGGTCCATACGAACTGGAAATCAAACGGAGAAAAGAAACAATTTGTCTCACACTGCTTCTGCTCATGCTATCGCTATCACTGGTACCTTGACAAGGACTCTTGACAGACAGACTAAAGCGTAGAAACCGTGTAGTGTGGGAGTAGAATAATGGAATCATGATACAAGCTTGGCTATAAAGGCGGCAACTCGCTTGCATATTCACTCTTATCTTCACCAAAACTGTAGAAGTGGAAGGGGTTGTCGAGCAATTACGGGTTGCCTGCTATCTCCTGTGGGAAACCCTTTGCTTTGGTAAGGCAATGGGCTGTGACAGCTACTGGGTAGTTGGTAGCTAGTGATGGGTTGGGAGGAAGGTTTTAAAGGTATAGACTGTAGCCATCGGGTGATTTAGAGAAGAGAACAAAGTATTTGCTCCACTCTACTGGTGAGCTTTCATTTCCACTCTCTCTGCCTTCCTCTCAAACTTCTCTGCAAACTATCAGCAACAGTAGACACGCTTGACTTAACAACATTTAAAAAAGAACATTAAGTCCTTCTGTGCTGCACAAATAGCAGAGCATCAGAATTCAACAAAGTAAGTTTGCACAGAGTTTGAGCTAAGCTCTCAACAAGGTATTCACAAGCAAACTTTTGTCCTGTGCCTGGAGGTAAGAGATGAGGGAGTGAGGTGTAGTCGATCTGACAGGGACATGGGAGGGAGAGAGGGATGCGGGAGGCAGGAAGACTAGAGAGGAGCATGTCTGTTCTTTTCGCTTCCTCCTCATCCTCGTCTCTTCGGAGCGCTCCTGACAGGAGGAGCTTGATTGGTAATGAGCCGTGAAGTCGCTCGCTTAGCTGGGACCAACAGATTGCCACCACTTATCGTTTATGACGTGGCGATTGCTCCCACCGTCATCTCTCTATCATTCCTCTGTCTCGCGCTCTCTCTCTCTTCATCCTTCTCTCCCAGTGTTTATGGGAGTTTATTATTTATCCAGTAGTGTCGAGGTCAGGGCCACAGAGAGCAGTGGGGTATTTTACTGCTCCCGATGTGTCAAAGGCCCTACTTACTCTATTCCATACTTACTCTATTCCAGCTATGCCTGCCCTGACATGCTAGGACCGACTAATCCACCTGCAGTGACCATGTTCACTCCACCGCATGGACGCTACCGTCTCCTCCCACACTTTAGTAAATGGCCGGATGTAACATAATCCCACCCCCAAGTGAAGCCGCAACAGGTTAGATTTTCAATGAGATACATGTCGTATTTCTTTCCGTTAGCGGACAGTGTTAAATGCAGGGAATTGATCGGGTCACATAAAAGGTTGCGTCCACAGCGAAGCTTCAGGAGTCATATTGACTAACGGGCAACAAGCAGTGAAATGGCCCTTTTATGATGCAGCTTAAAGGCTGATTGTCTCCTGACTGTTAATTTATCCTTCTAACGAGCCACCGGAGGCCCGCTCAGGCCAATATTACTGCGTGGCTACTGCACGCTGCTGTCCTTGAGGCGGAGTCTGTACATTTGCATGCATGCATTGTATCTATATAGACACTGGGTGACTGTGATGGACAATCTATGAGAGAAGTCCTACTGTAGCTCCTCTAATCATGCTTTTCCTGGCCTTCTAATCAACTCCCCCCTTTACCCACTGGGAATTGTTTGAGTACAGCTCTCGATGACTGTACTGCCCTCTTGTAAGACCCGGCAGAGATCTGGGTTGCAGTTTGCTGCAGGTCATGAGGTCAAATGCAGGGTGACCCTTGCCAAGAGCAAGGGTGACTGTACTTGCCTGCATTTCCTATCATAGCTGTTTTTAACCTTGAGCTATAGAGGTGAGAAACACTCTCATACAGAACAAGTATCTGTATCGGGCGAGGCAGTGCTAGTTTGCCATTGTGATGGCTTTTAACCTTTTAGAGAGGCGGAGAGAGCAAATAGAGAAACACAGGAGGCGGCTTTCAGTGTTTGAGCACCGTCTAGCATATTGTAAGCCAGTGTGTTCAATAGCATTAGTGTCTAATGGCCTTAGCTTATACATAAATGCAACTCCTGTCAACCTGGGGTACAGTAAATTTACTGAACACAGCTAATTTGTCACAACCACTCAAAATGCAAAAAAAAAATGAATTTACTTACTTTTGCACTTGCGTGTCACCGCAACGAAGAGAAATATCATTAATATGAAATACTTTGGTTTTTGGGGTCAAAATAGCGACAAAACTGTTGTATGTACTTTTTGGTGTGAGGTATCTGTGTACTATATCTGTAAGCATCTTTATTTTTCTTGTGAAAATGTGGATATTTATGACAATGTAAATATCAGATCGATGGAGCCAGTGTTGCCAGTGTTGTGGAAGTACAGAGGAAGGTGTTGTGGGTCGACTAAGCCTAAAGTTCAAATGTCTCGGATGGCATTCAGAATGTAATTTTTAATCCAATTAATACCTCAGTGGTTTGGATGTTAAAACATGCTGGACCGACTGAGCTGAGTTTGCCTAAAGAGTCGATTTGTATTAGTGAAAAAAAAAAATGATATATGCTTGTATAATGATTTTGTTAGCATTGCCTGCATTCCCACATAATAAGCACACAGTGTTTTTTGTTTTTCAGCACAATTGGCTTCTCCTCTCCTTGTCACGACAGCCACCCTGCACAATGCAAAAATACCCACAATACTCATAAATTATCAGGTGGATCGTCACCACACAGGCGATGGTCTGTTGAGTCAGCTCTGTCTGTGTGTGTGTGCGTGTGTGTAGAGTAGTATTTTTGTGATTCGGGATATCTCTCACTGCCATTGGGGTTGTAACCTGAGTAGCCACCCTTTGTCACCATGGAAAACTGGCAAACTGAAGATATTACTGTGCAATTTGAAGACTCACTAATTCACGTAGTGTGTGTATATGTATATGTATGTGTGTGTGTGTGTGTATATATGTGTGTGTGTGTGTGTGTGTGT